CATCGCGACCAGGACCATCCCGGCCGGATAAAGCCATGCACACAGCGCGAGGGTCCATGCGACAACTCGGCTGTTCCTCCCATGGCCTCTGCAGAGGCCCAAGCATGCTGAAGAGAGCTCGGCCCGATGCCGTGGCTTGGGCAAATCACCGACTCGCACGTCTGGACGGCGAGGCGCCTGCGGTGAAGCAGGGAACCGTCCACGCAGATGTCTCCCCCCTGGTAGAGTGTGGAGGAGGAGGGGTAAGAGGATGGGTATGAGGACTCTCTGGGCTCTGGACTCTGCGCTGGAATGCAGTAGTATCACTGACCACTTGTTTGTAATCCCCTGCGGAATGCTCGAGGTAAGCGCCTCGAGAGCTGATGTCTGGCGGCCTACACCCATCAGAAATCGTAGGATGATGCTAGATTTCTGGTTGAGGCCAGATTGAAATTAAGAAATCTGCCGATGTGGACTGGACCCCCTAGGTTTTCTTAGATCGATTTCGAGGTTCGCTCGACCAAATCTTAGATGCCATCCCCTCTCCTTCGATTTCTTCTCCTTCCCGCTCCGCTCGTTTTTGGAGGTTCGAACGTGTCGTTCATAAAGATGTTGCTTCTACTGTTTCCGAGTGCGATTTGGTAGGCAATTGATTTGATAAACTTGCTGGGCAATTGACATAAGTTGTGTGTGAACTACGGCTAATACTTTCCTGGATGCAGTTGTGATAAATGTGGGTAAAAGTATAGTAACGCACATCTACTGAAAATACACGCTTGACTAAAACATGATTTTGATTTTGGTGGCGGTTATCCCCCAAGAACGTAAGCAATATTTGCTGACATGTCTGAAACAATTTTTCATTGCAGATCCTTCAGGAAACGGTTTTGTAACATTGAAGACATAAATGTTTTAAAAGTTTTCAAATTTATATGTCTGCGCGCTCGTATTATCCTCCCCCTGTTCATCTCTCCTCTCCGTTCCCTCTGTTCTTTCTCCTGTGCCGCCCACTTGTGATGCATAACGAATCATCGAAACACATCTAGCTTCGGTATCGGACAATCACTTAAGTTTCTGACGCACCAGCTTCCGACCGCAAAGCATTGACCTACCATGAGAATCGCGGGTAACGCAGAATCAGAATTCGATTCGGGAGAGGGAGCCTGATAATTATCCGGGTTAGCGTTCGATCATTGCAATCTCTGACATTTCAGCTTCCGACGGTGGAGTCTCGGCTTGCCGTAGCAGTCATGGGCAACGGAAAATTCGGAATCGATTGCGGGGAGGGGGCTTGAGATTGGTCTTGTTCAGAGTGGGCGTTCTGACCTTACTACACGCTGAAGGTGTTGTGCCGCTGATGTTAACACGCACACGGGATGTTGTTCACGACTCAACAGTATTTCGCAACCGATCGGAGCACGAAGATGATGTGCAGTACTTACATCATTATGATGCAAGATGTGTTCAAGAAGCGTTTGCTTTTTTACAGTGTTGGCAATTGGACAGGTAGGGGCAATTTGAACAGCTTGAACAAAAAACCATGTTGAACGATTTGGAGCACTGTGAATGATCTATCCCCTAGCAGCTGTAGCGAAGTTAGGGATTTGATTGAAGTGTGTAAATTGACTAACTTTGATATTTCGAGCAATTTAAACAGCTTGGATAACCTAATCATATTGGGACATACTGAACAGTGGGCGCAATTTGAACATTTCGAATAATCCATGTTGCCAACGTCTGGGCAACATGAATGATGTAAGGAAGTGGGTATTGCGAGTAACTCTAGCAGTGTACACTATTGAGCAAACTCAATACGTCTATGGATATGAATAACTCGGACACGTTGGTATGTTTAGTTGTACATTCAATTGTGCAATGTACGCAGCTTAAGCAAATTAACACAGATCGTTTGAAATAGCAATTTTGAGAACGCTGGCCAGTTTGAGCCATTTGAGCAATTGGATGAATTTGAGCTAGTTGACAAAATCGAACAATTTGAGCAAGTGCGGTAATATAAACAAGTTGAGTCAGGTGTGTAAGCTGGGCATTTCGTATAAGCTTACTTACTTGTTAGGTTGGGCAGTGTGGGTAGTGTGCAAATGTTTAAACAGTTTGCGCAGTGTGGGCATTTAAGCATGCCGAATATGCTTCAGCAACTTGGGCAGTCTGACCATTTGAAGCAAGGGCGCATTTTGAGTACGTTTATGAATACAGCGAACTTGAACATGTTCCATACATGTGTAAATTTGAATACAACGAGCAGTTTGCATATTTCCAATAGTTTCAGCAACCTCTCATACCCTGCAATTTAACACAACACGTTTGTCGAAACGTTACACACGTTGGGAATCCCGAGCCATTTGAGCAACTTGAAGAATGTAACCACGCCGGCAACTGTGGTAATTCAAGAAGCTTGAGGAAGTTGGGTAAAGCTGACAGTTTGGACCTGTGAGAATTTGATGTTTGTTTTCGCAGTTGAGCATGGTTCATCAGTTTAGCAAAGTTGGGCAACTTCAATAACTTGAGGAACTCGACTACTTCGAACAAGTTGATTTCTTCATTGAAGCAAATATCTTAAGCAACCTGTAAACAAAGTAAGCATTGTTGCCGTAATTTCAACCATATTGGGAATGCCGAGCAAGTTGAGAATCTTAAGGGTTTGCCTACTTGCGCAGTTGGGATAATCCGGAACATTTGAATAATTCGAGCAAGACGGGTAGTTTGAACAAGTGAGAATGTGATGCAATTTCCAGCACAAAAACATGTTTCTCAAAAGCGTGGGTGGTTCCAATAGTTACCGTAAGTCGAGCACTCTGAATAATGTTGTTCGTGCGAGCAATTGGGCCAGTTTGGGTAACCTGAACATTCTTGAGCAGCCCTGACAATGTGAACAGTCCGAGCATGTTGAGCAGTTCGAGGAATTTGAATAGTTCTGGCATGTTGAGCCAGTTGGGCAATATGAGTAACCTCAGCAAGTGAATAGTTCGAGTAAGTTTAACAGCGTAGAGAATCTGAACCATTTCAAGAATTTTAAGATGTTCTATACTTCGGGTTGTTTGTTAGTTATGAAAAAAGTCGCATTTTATACGCATTAAGCACGTCAACCATTGTTGTCGCAATGCTAGCCATTGCGAGAACTCCTACCAACTTGGGCAACTTGATGGATGTTCGCAACTTGGGCAAGTTTAGTCGCTCAAAGAAATTGAATAATTCTGGTAAGACGGACATTCTGAACTAGTCAGCAACTACGTGTCGCACCCTTGTGTGGTTCCTGTAGTTAAAATGCTTGGGATATTCGCGCACTTGGAAGAGTTTGGGCAAGTTCCACGTTAAGCAGCTCAAAGCCATTCACAACATACGAAGCTGAGCCATTTTGAGACTTTCGATCAACTTCGACCATTTGGCACTCTTGAGCCATTTGAGCAAGAACTTTGCCAGATCTGGACGTGGACTACTGTTTGAAAGAAGCCCCACGGTGGGGTTTATTTCCGAACACATAGCTTAACTCTAAACGGGGGTGTACATCGACCTCGTGACCCCCAGGGAACCGCACGGTAAGGGTCTAGCGAGGGAAGGGGGGGGGCACAACGCGATCAAGGCTGCCCGTATCAAGAGGATGGCGGGAGGAGGGGGTGGAGAGGGGCTGGGGTCTATGAGTGAAAGGAGGAGGATGAAGAGGAGGAAGAAGAGGAGAAGAATAATGAGGAGGGGGAGGAGGAAGGAGGGGGAGGATAAGTGGGAAAGGGGTGGGAATAAGGATGCGGACGGGGATGGAAATGAAGATGAAGATGAAGATGAATAATGAGATGATTGTGATGATGGTGGTGATGATGACGACGACAACGGTGATAATGATGATGGTGATGATGCTGGTGATGAAGATAATGATAATGCTGGCGATGGTGATGATGTTGATGCTGATGATTATGGTTGCGATGAAACTGACGCTGACAACGTTGAGACTGATGATGATGCTGATGATGATGACGATGATGATGATGAAGATGCTGATGCTGCTGATGCTGATGATCGTAATGACGGTGACGATGACAATGTCGATGCTGACGATGACGGTGATGCTGAAGAAAATGATGGCGATGCTTCTGATGATGGTGGTGTTGATGACGGTGATGCTGCTGAATGCTGGTGGTGAAGATGATGACAATAATGAAGGGGATGATAATGACAATGGCGATGCCGATGACAATGACGATGATGATGATGTTGATGGTGATGCTGCTGCTGCTGATGATGATGATGATGATGATGATGATGATGATGATGATGATGATGATGTTGGTACTGATGCTGATGATGGTGATGATGACGGGGAGGAGGAAGACGAGGAGGAGGGAGGGAAGGAGGGAGGGAAGAGGAGGAGGAGGAGGAGAAGGAGGATGGGGGAGGATCAACGCGAACGCCTCGGAATGGAGGCCGACCCTCGATTTGGGAAGCTATCGGGCCTCTGACTTGAGGACAAGGGGCAAGCGCGGTGGCAGCAGAGGCAGCAGCAGCAGGAGCCAGGGGGGGAGGGGAAGAGAAGAAACACGAGGAGGAGGAGGCCAGGAGTGAAAATGATGGGGGGGGAGCAAAGAATTGTAGGAAAGTGGGCGAACGAACAGATGAACGACGCGCTCCATCAACCGGGAGGCCGTCACGAGACGGGTGGCACGGTGACGCCTCAGCGCCCCCGGTTCTGGTACATGGCAGTGCGTTCCAGCCGACGGTTGCACTGGCCCCGAGGAAGCGGAGGGGTCTGTAAATGTACAAGGGCTAGGGGGAGAAAACAGAAAGCAACGGCGCCAAACTTCGCATTTCGCGCTGCGGGAAGCGCGAAGAACTTCGCGCTCTCGCGCCGCCCGCCAGGGGAGAAGCGGAGCACGAGGAGGAGTCGGAACCGAACCCCGAAGCGCCAAGAACTTCGCGCTCTCGAGGGCGCCCCTGGAAAGAGTTGGATGAGAGAGAGGAGCGGAAGGAGGAGTAAGAGAGAGACGGAGGACGCAGGCGGCGGCGCCGCCCGCCTCATCTGAAGGCGCCGCTTCCTCGCGTGCGTCCGGCTCCTCCAGCGCCTGGCGAGAAGAAGCGGCAGAGGCAGAGCAGTGAGGAGGACGGATGCGGAGGAGGCATGTACTTGATGATGGGAGGAGTGCAGCGGGAAGGAGGAGGACGAGGGCGAAGGAGAAGATGAGATGGAGGAGGAGGAGCAGCAGGTGAGATAAGGGGCACGAGCGAGCAAAATTGCACTCGCCGGGAAGCCGGCGACCCTGCAAAGGAGAAACGCGCGCTGGTCGCGCGCAGGCATACTATAAAGGCTGCGAAATGTGAATTTATGTCAAACAACCAAATGCATCATGAAACGTTTGCACGGATTGTCGCGCGGTCATCGCCATGCGTGCTGCAACATGACCAGGCGAAGGATAAGTAGAACGAATGGGAGGAACAAAGAAACAGCTTGACACAACGGAAGAGGAGGAGACGGAAGATGCAGGCGGCGGCGCCGCCGACTGCTTCGAGGGCGCCGCTTCCTCAAGAGTGTCAGACTCCTTCGGCGCCGGAGGAAAGGGCAAGGAATCAAACACGAGGAGGGGCAGAGAGATAGTGCTGAGAAGTGGAAGGGAGTAGACAAGGACGGAGGAGGGGCATGGTGATAGCGGGCGGGAGGTGGAGGAGAAGAGGCACGAAAATACTGTATAAGAGGAAAGAGGAAGGGGAAAGGAAGGATCAGTTCATAGATGGTGAGGAAGAGGAGTGGTAGGATGAAAAGGGCGAGCAGAAAGAAGAGGTGGAGCAGAATGAGTGACAGGAAGTGAAGCCAAGGAGTCGAGGAAGGAAACATAGACCTACCATTACCACGAAACATCGAAAGACGCCAACAGTGGAAGACAAGCGCACTTGTGGCAATGACAACGATGATGCAATAGAAACTCCATTTCCGTATCACCTCCTCGTAAGTCTCTACAAAAGTTTCAATTCCACTTCTTGGAGACCCCCTAAACTATAAGCCTCAATAGAAGTACCCATGAGCCAGCCATATGGGCCTGCCATCAGGGCTAGAGCCGAGATGGGAAAAAGATCCGCCCTCTATTCGTGCAACTGTGCATCATCCATCGTACCATAGTCCGACGACCCCTTGTGGGTCTCTCGGCGCGAGAGAATATCCCCCCGTAACCCCTCCCCCAGGGCACCCAAACCGTAGATTTGACACACACACACACACAAACACACGGCTTCTAACGACCCCAGCGCGAACGCATCATGGGGGGATTCAAACTGTTTTGGTGTTTTTGGGTAGCCCCGGGACGGCTCCAGAGGCACCCACGACGCGGTCAAAGAAGGCCCCGAGTCGCCGAAAATCTTCCCAAGATGCTCAAGATGGGGTCCAGACGGCCTAAGAGGCCTCCGAGAAGCATCCCAAAAGAGCCCCCAGAAGCAAAAGTCGCATCTTTCATTTAGGAAGTCTTATCATTTTACAGGCTGCGCCGCTTGGGTTATCACGTAGGGCAAGACGGCCCGGGAGGCCGTCACGATCGACCCAGGACGGACCAAGAGGCCCCGAAGACGGCTACAAGACGGCCCAAGACGACCCCAAGACAGCCCAAGATGCCCCCAAGACGACCCAAGACGACCCCAAGAGATGCCCCAAACCCCAAAGAGGCCGCCAGGAGGCCTGACTGAGCCCCCAATCCAGCACCCGAAAGGCTTCAAAACTGTGTCCACAAGGCCACCCAGAGGGTTCCTGGAAGACCGCAACAGGCATCCCAAAGTCCTCTGACCAAAAGCCTCCGCCCCCTCCTCCTCCTCCTCCGCCTCCTCCTCCTCCTCCTCCTCCTCACGGGCGCGTTGGAGAGGTGGGCCACACGCTTGTGCGCTTGTGGTTCACGAGCCAGGCACTGTGGCGCCCCAGTGCGATCGTTGGGTGACGTCACCACAAGAGGTCCGACCGCCCCGAGGGAGCTCCGTACGGCTCCTCCAGGCCACACAGTGGCCACGAAGGCTCTCACGAAGGCTGCCAGGAGCCCCCGAGAGGAAGGTGTCGATGGATGTGGCGTGAGCCCATCGAATATTCAAAGAAGTGATCTGCACATGTTGTTGTTCAGACTCTGGGGCACTCCCCGTCTCTGGGGAATGGTCTGGCTACTCATCACCATCGTCCTTCCTCCACCTGGTCGTCGTAGTCGTCATCTTCCTCCTCCTCATCCTCCTCCTCTTGGAGGGAGGGGAGGAGTAAGAAGAGTATGATGGGTGGGGTGAATGGGTATGCGCATGGGAATCGGAAGGGGATAAGTGGGCATAGTGATCATAATGGGGTCAAAGATGTTGGTAGGGGTGGAAATCGACATCGAGATGGGGACAGTGGTAGGGATAGGGATGAATATCCATATGAGGATGGTTTGATTATCGGGATGAGGGTGCCCTCCCAAAGTCTCTCGAGTGGGACTTTGGAGTTTAACGGTCCACCCCGTGCACTACCCAGTGTCCCCCGTGGAACATCGGAATTACCTAGAGTCCCCCGTGGGACATCGGAAGTACCCCGTGCCCTCCGTGGGACATCGGAATTACCCAGCGTCCCCCGTGGGACATCGGAATTACCCGGTGCCCGGTGTCCCCCGTGGGACATTGGACATAGCCGGTGTCCCCCGTGGGGCGTCTCAATTACCTGGCGTCCCCCGCGTGGGAGAGTGGACATCGGAGTTACATGGTGTCCGCCGTGGAGCGACCTGGTGTCCCCCGTGGGACGTCGGAGTCCCCAGTGTGACACCTGGGCATGCCAGGGGCGCGGAACATCAGTTTTCTCCGGGGCACGGCAGCGTGGTTGAGGATGCACGTTGTTCGCGCTTCCTAAGATGGCCTCATGGGGCCGTCCTGGGGCTCCCTTGGCGGGTTCTGGGGCCGGCCTGGAGGCCTTCGTAGCCGGCCCAAGAGGCCAGCAGGATTACAAACTGAGTCATGTGGTTTGCATGATTTCCGTATGCTTGCCGTCTCGGTCATTGAAGCGACCCAGACTGCACGAGAGGCCCCCATGGAGTGCCCCGAGAGGGCCCAAGAGGCCCACCCATGGAGCCCAAGAGGCCCCCAAGAGGCCCAAACAGGGCCTAACAAGGGGAACATCGAACATACCTGTCGATCCTTTTTCCTAATGATGGCCCCCGAGACCGCCTGAGTCCCCCAAAAGACCAGTGGAGACCTCCAAATGGCCCCAAGAGGCCTAATTACCATCGCATTCCCAGGGAGTGAGCCAGCCATCACCATATCTGCATTGCGGGTCCTGTTTGATGAGAAGCTCTAGCCTTGAACAAACGGAGGACCTCGCTGCAGGCATGGACAGCCCCAAGAACCCGGCGCGCGAGAACGAGGACAGAGTGAACCTGAACATCGACAAGGTTGCAGCATACCTTACCGAATGCAAAGAGTTTCGTGCGGGGGAGGCCTTCAAGGTGGAAGCTGCGAGGACGCCTGAAGGTATGAAGGCTTGGCTGGAAACGTCAACAAACCGTGCGGGAACACTCGACATCTGATGCGTGCGGCGCTGAGGCGAGAGCCATAGGGCCATCGTGCCACCACTGGTTAAGATCGGCGCCTCCTCCTCCTCCGCCTCCCCCTTCTCCCTCTCCTCCTCTCCTCCTCCTCCTCCTCCTCCTCCTCCTCCTCCTCCTCCTCCTCCTCCCTCCTCCTCCTCCTCCTCCTCCTCCTCGCTGCAGGGTCATCGTGCCACCACTGGGAACACTGAACAAGAGACGAGGGTGCTTTCCTGGCAGTGGCGAGCCCGGCCACGAAGAGGCTCCGCGACCCAAATGTACAGGGCAGTTGTTCATACATAGTTTTTTTTTTTTTTTTTTTTTTTTTTTTTAAATATATATATATTATATATATATATAAAGAAAACATAATTCTTAATCCATGACTAAGTTATAAATAAATCTATGCATGAGCTCATCGTTGTTCCCAACCCTCCTGCGTTGGGCACTCGTGTTGAATAGAGCACTGTGGTCTCCACCTTCCTCCTCCTCCTCCCGCCTCCTCCCGCCTCCTCCTCTTGTCTCTTGCTCTTACCCCTCCTCTTCTCCTCCCTTCCTCCCGCCTCCCGCCTCCTCTCTTCGATCCTCCTCTCTCCTCTCTTGCTTCCCCTTCTCCTCTCATCTCTGTGCTACCCTTCTCCTCTCATCTCTCTTCGTCTCCTCTCTTGCTTCGCTTCTCTCCTCTCTTCGCTCCTCTTCTTCTCTCTTGCCTTTTACGTCATCTCTTTGTGGGGCTGCGATCTGTGAAACTGTCGCCACTTTCGGGGGTTGCTGGGGTGCCGAGCGGAGTGACGCCCTACGGGGACTCAGATTAGACCTCGCCATCCCTGGTGGGGCTGCGATCTGTGAAACTGTCGCCACTTTCGAGGGCTGCTGGGGGGGCCAGCGGAGTGACGCCCTACGGGGACTCAGATTAGACCTCGCCATCTCTGGGGGGGGCTGCGATCTGTGGAACTGTCGCCACTTTCGGGGGCTGCTGGGGTGCCCAGCGGAGTGACGCCCTACGGGGACTCAGATTAGACCTCGCCATCCTGGTGGGGCTGCGATCTGTGAAACTGTCACCACTTTCGAGGGCTGTGGGGGGGCCCAGCGGAGTGACGCCCTACGGGAATTCAGATTCGACCTCGCCATCCCTGGGGGGCTGCGATCTGTGAAACTGTCGCCACTTTCGAGGGCTGCTGGGGTGCCTAGCGGAGTGGCGCCCTACGGGGACTCAGATTAGACCTCGCCATCTCTGGGGGGGCTGCGATCTGTGAAATTGTCGCCACGTTCGGGGGTTGCTGGGGTGCCGAGCGGAGTGACGCCCTACGGGGACTCAGATTAGACCTCGCCATCCCTGGGGGGCTGCGATCTGTGAAACTGTCGCCACTTTCGAGGGCTGCTGGGGGGCCCAGCGGAGTGACGCCCTACGGGGACTCAGATTAGACCTCGCCATCCCTGGGGGGCTGCGATCTGTGAAACTGTCGCCACTTTCGAGGGCTGCTGGGGGGCCCAGCGGAGTGACGCCCTACGGGGACTCAGATTAGACCTCGCCATCCCTGGGGGGCTGCGATCTGTGAAACTGTCGCCACTTTCGAGGGCTGCTGGGGGGCCCAGCGGAGTGACGCCCTACGGGGAATCAGATTCGACCTCGCCATCCCTGGGGGGCTGCGATCTGTGAAACTGTCGCCACTTTCGAGGGCTGCTGGGGGGCCCAGCGGAGTGACGCCCTACGGGGACTCAGACTAGACCTCGCCATCCCTGGGGGGCTGCGATCTGTGAAACTGTCGCCACTTTCGAGGGCTGCTGGGGGGCCCAGCACAGTCTGCACCCGCGGCGGATTCAAATGTGACCTCGCCATCCCTGGGGGGCTGCGATCTGTGAAACTGTCGCCACTTTCGAGGCTGCTGGGGGGCCCAGCGGAGTGACGCCCTACGGGGATTCAGATTTGACCTCGCCATCCCTGGGGGGCTGCGATCTGTGAAAATGTCGCCACTTTCGAGGCCTGCTGGGGGGCCCAGCGGAGTGACGCCCTACGGGGATTCAGATTAGACCTCGCCATCCCTGGGGGGCTGCGATCTGTGAAGCTGTCGCCACTTTCGAGGGCTGCTGGGGTGGCCAGCGGAGTGACGTCATACGGGGATTTAGATTAGATCTCGCC